ACCGGATCGGATTACTATTAGCGTGCAAGGGGTGGCGAGGTAGTTTGCCAGGTCGCTTCAAGGTTTTTCTGAGCCTCAACCTCCTGCTCGCCCCTGGCCGTTTCGAACTGGATGAGTCTCGTAAAAACAGTGCGTTCGTGCAATCACTACTGCGTGATGCAGGTTAAAGACCCCCCCCGGGGCTGGCGGTCACAATTCTGCACTGGCAAATATTCTAGCATATCCGGGACACTCGTCGTCTCATTTAATTGCCTAACCAACTTCGCAGAATCTAGATATCACACACCCTAACTTGTCTAAACTTGATTTCGTGAAAACCAGTGAGTCGTGAAAACGTTATTTGAACCTGAAACTGTGGAAAAACTTGAAAATCGGACTTCGAACTTTGAAAACTTGGATTAAAAAAAAATTCAAAATCTTCAAAGTTTTTTTTTTTTTTTTTTTAAATAAGCGTTAAAAGAGAATCGAAACCTTCGAACTTTTCGACCTTTATGCAAAAAGAAATTCGAAATCTTCGATTTGTTCGAACTTCATGTCTATAAAAATTCGAAGGGTTCGAAGTTTTCGAATTTTTTTTACAAAGAATTTCGAGATCTTCGAATTTATCGAACCCGAAGTAAAAAAATATTCGAAATATTCGATTTCGAAATTTTGGAAACCGTGAAAGCTTCGAAATTTTCAAATTCGAAACTCCGCTGTGGTCAAAAGTTGCGAATTTTTCGAAATCGAACCTCGGTCGGTACGAAAATATCGAAATTTTTCGAAATCGAACCTCAGTTCGCTTCGCAAATATCGAAACCTTTCGAAATCGAACCTAGGGTGGTTCGCGACATCCCTACTTGAGACAGACCGCGCGGAGCGGTACGGTCAATAGAGAAGCCTTGAGTGTAGTTTCATCTGCTGCACGCGCTCGCCTTTTATGTAAGGTTGGAAGTAAATCGCTAAAATGAGATGATGACGAGAGTGTGTGCAACATGACATTTATTTTTATTTTACTAATCTACCGTTGCAGACGCCAGCAAGCGCAGCGCGGGTAACGAAGAACCCCTTCATCTCCTCATTGCTCGGGAAACGAATTAAAGGTATATTCGCGCAAGCAAAGGAAAAGAGCATACAAACTTGCGAATTATCCACAAAAAACATCACAAAGCTAAATGTCTATTCCAGGTCTTAGTTCGCGAAAAATTTATTTGGTGTGCTCTGCCTCTCCAGTACCGCAGTCCGGTCCTCACCGGCATCGCCTCATTTTGAGCAATTTTTGCTTCTCCCTTTGGGAATCTCGATCCTTGCTAACAGCCTTAGCAAAGAAATGCATCCTGGTCAGAGCATAGAATTTGATGACATTTGCTGTGACCAAGTGCCCATGCTCACTGCAGCCAACTTCCTGCAGTGCATGCCCCTGAAGGAAGCGCAGGAAACAGATCATGCTCTTAGCATGGAGCTTGTTTCTGGTAAAGAAAACAGTGAAGGCGTTTTCCAGTCTGGTTACCAGTGCCTCCAGTGGTTTCGAAGGGTACAGCAAATTCCCATGATCGAATTCTCTCGTCAATGAGGCGTTGCCATTGCACTCAGCCTGCAGGGGCAGGACACTCAAGCAAGATGCACATTCTGGGCACGGGAATTTTTTGAGGGACTTGCGGACAACGTAACCCGCTACGTAATATATCAGCCGACTGTCACTTCTTTTCTCGACACAGACGTGGTGGTCAATCAGGCTACTGTGCTCTTTTAGCACAACTGCGGCATGAGTCAGACTTCCCTCGTCCAACAGTTCATCAACGAGTGCCGTTACACGAGCAGCCTTTTCTTTTCCAGCATCAGATGGCTGCAAAAGTGCAGTTACAAGCTCAGCTGGCGAGTTTCCATTCTTTGGTGGTCTTGCAAGGCTGTAGAAAGTTAGGTTGTTAATAATGACCAAAAACTGCTCAGGGGAGGGGTGGTCATTACATCCAAAGGATTGTCGCACAATCCCAAAGATGTTTTCTAGTTTATCTTGACTAAGGTTTGCAGTCAACAAGTACTTGTAGTGCACTGAGGTAATCAGATAGTCCAGAAGTGACAGTGTGCTCTGTAGAGTCACACGGAGTCCAAGGGCAGTCCCTGCGCTTAGGAATCCACCACCGTGTTGGGCAGCGTACTCTTCCCATTCACTTAAGAAGGCAATGAACTTTTTCAAAAACTGGGCACTTCCTGACTGGGCTCGAAGGCCCTTAGACGGGACCCTGGATGACATCATGAAAATCAACATCTCCATCAGCTTCACAAACTGCTCTGTTGGCTCCGTTGTTCTGAACCTTCTTTCCAAGTCACCTTTATAAAAGAAAAGCCCTTTCAACACCTCTTGACTGAACAGTTGAAAAGCCAAATTCACACGCATTTTTTCAAACGCGTTCGGTTGTACATGTGCCTGTGTTATGTGTGGCATCACTTTCAGTGTCAATGCTTCCTTGTCCCTTTTCCATGCCTCTTTGATGACATCAACATGAGCATGACCACATGGAATCTGTACGCCTTTTGAGACAAAAGTATTCCGCACGCATTTGATCAGATGAGGAAAATCGGAGATGAAGTGTAGGCTCCTTGCTGTGTCGACAGGATGGGGAACCTTGCAGGTGATTTCCTTAGACGAAGCTGCACAAGTAAGGAATATCTGTGAATAACAGGAGATAAGCAAGAAAAGCCTTTCACTGTGATTCTGGGACGGAAATTATCCACCTTTGATGCCGAGCAGCTTCCAGAGACAGCGATTCCAGGGAGCACCATCACTTGTCCAGAAATCGACGAAGAGGCCGGAATTTTCAGCCAGTATCGTAGCCTCCAGGAGAATCTTCGAGAGGACAGGCGCCTTTACATTGCCTCTGGAAGCAAAGACTCCGAGGATTTGTGTCCACTTTCCTGCAAAAATAAGATGTTTCACTGTGAGAAATATAAAAATGTAAATCACGGCTTAGGCATCACTGAAGTAAATATGTTGTAAATGACATCACAAACTTCACTAGGTGGACTAGGCTCTAGGATGTACAACAACCAAAAAAGACGTACAATTGTATTGCCGTCACGACATACTTATTTAAATTAACTTGCCTTTAAAGGGTTGAAATACTACGACGAGGCCGTGGTCACTCAGTGCTGTCTCGCTGCTATCCTCCATGAAAGGACCGAGGTCAACGAAGCCACTCAGTTCGCCAGATGCCGTCACATTGATGTTCTCGGAGAGCTTAATCTCGTCATACACAAGACCACCATGGCGGCTGAACTCGTCCATGTCTCGTGTTTTCTTTTCCAAAGCTGAAAACACACTAGTGTTGAAACCAAACGTGCTTGTAAATCCCTGCATGTGTTTGTCCAGGCATGATTTGCTCGGCAAGGCAAGAATCTTGTGTCTTCTAACATACTCGTAGAGTTGGGGGCTTCTCATGCGCATCAAAATGCACTCCAGGACCCACTGCATGTCGTACGCCATGCCTCGGCTTGATTTTCTGGATGCCGCCTCAAAACAGGTTCTTACAGCAAGACGCTGCTTTGGTGGGAGGCTCCCGATTTTCTCCTCCAAAACTGAGCTGGAAATTGTTTCTGTGACTGTTCGAAGCTTTGCAACACTTTCTTGGGCTTTTTCTAGCCTTTTTTTCGCCCGGAACAGCTGAAGGGACTTCCTGGCAATCCGTTGCTGAAATGTCGTTCGACGTTTGTTCTTGAGCCTGTACGTCTGGTTTTGGATGAGCTTTTTTGTGTATTTGCATCGTAAACAAGCTCTCCCGTCAGGTGTTGTCACACAGCAGTTTTTTGCGAAGTGCATGGAACCAAACTGGACACACTGACCAGCTGCCACTGGCTCAATTTCACAGCCTGGGCAAAGAAGCAATTGCTCGGCCTTTTTCAATGCCCCAAGGGCGTCATCTCGTCTACTTACACAAATTTCTTCGACTTTGATGCCTCGGCAATATATGGCGCAAAGGTATGCGCTCCCCTGTGCAGCGGTGGCTTCGGCACATGCCGAGAACGTAACGTGCTTTATGACACGCACATCGTCTGATTCCATCCTGGCGTGCCATCCAAAGCACAATGCCGTTGGATCGTTCGATAAAATGATTCTGCTGCAATACATCGAGGGTGGCAGAATGTCGCTGAACGGGTGCGTCTCCGGCGCTGGTTCTGTACAGGCATTTCCAGGATCACAGTCATGCGTGGATCCGCTTGCAGCCCTGCGTTTCACTGGTGGGATACCACGGTCAGCGAGGTTCCTTTCTTTCCTCTTTTTGGGGACAGGCCTTGTCAGATACGAGGGGGCGTCGGGGAATATCGTAGGGACGGCGTCGTCGGTGAGCACTGGCCGTTCGCGGTCCAGCTCGACGAGCTCGCCATTGATGACGTGCTGGAAAGTTTTTTCTATGTAGCGTTCATCAAAGTGACGGGAACACACGACACAGGTTTCGTCGAGAACTTTGTCTTCTCGCTTGATGTTCCTCGCCCATTCTTGCCGACGAAGGGGGTCGACTGGAGCCCGGAACAACGATACTTTTTCTGCAGCCGATTTGTAGCCGCCTTTGCACAACGGCACGAAGCAGGTCCTACCTTTCTTCGCCGGCATGATCAGATGCATCCAACACACTGACGCATGACACACCGTTGGTCTCTCGTTGTGCAGCGCGATGTAATCCACAGATCCGCACAAACAACAAAGGAAGACCCTCGGACGGCTCGGTTCTGTCACACGGAAACATGTGCTTCCGCCATTTTCGCCCGGGCCGCCTACGGGGAGAATAGCGCGCCTGCTGGACGCAGCGCCACCTGCGCGCGTCATCCAAACCGGTTTCTCCGTGGCCGCTTGGAAGAGCGTACGCTCGGGACACTAGGAAACCCTTTCTAGCCTCTGTACCCTAACCACGTTCCGCCGTCCTCCATTTTTCCCCTATTTTGTTTTGTCTTTGCGCCTAGATGGATCGTCAGTGACCCATTGTCATCGGTATAAACGAGCCAATCCAAAGCCGAAATCCGAATTGAAATCCATCCAGTGTAGCCCGCCATCTTGGACGGCTTTTTGAGCATTTCGTGATTTCGCCATGTGGTTTGGCTTATCAAGATTTTCAAAGTTTAAGCGAAAAGGTTAGCAAGAAGTAGCAAAAATGCAAGTCTCAAGCACAAACGACGTCAAAATCTACAACCTCAGTGCCGGCAGGTCGCTGCCGGAATGGCTCTCGGATCGGAAGAAGCGCCTGCTCGCCAAGAAGCATTCGGAGATCCGGCATCGCATCGAACTCATCCAAGACTTCGAGATGCCCACGGTCAGCACGAACGTCCGAATGTCCAAGGACGGACAGTACGTGCTCGCCACGGGTATCTACAAACCCCGTGTCCGCTGCTTCGAGGTGTCCCAGCTCTCGATGAAGTTCGAGCGCTGCTTCGACTCTGAAGTCGTGTGCTTCGAGTGCCTGAGCGACGACTACGCCAAGATGGTGTTCCTCCAGTGCGACCGGTACGTCGAGTTTCACGCGGCCTACGGTCGCTACCACCGCATCCGAATCCCCAGGTTCGGTCGGGACATGGCTTACCTGTCGGCGGCCTGCGAACTGTTCTTCGCGTGCGACGGTCCCCAGGTCTACCGGCTCAACCTCGATCAGGGCCGCTTCCTGAACCCCGTCGTTACAGAAGCCACGGCCGTTAACGCTTGTAGGGTTAACGCGTACCACAATCTCGTCGTTTTGGGCACCGAAGAAGGCAAGGTCGAGGCGTACGATCCGCGTTCCCGCAACCGCGTCGGGGTCCTAGAGTGCGCCCTCAACAGTGTCACCGAGAACTCCGAGATCCACGGCATGCCGTCAGTGACCTCCTTGTGCTTCAGAGACGCGCTTATGTTAGGCGTCGGCACGGCCACGGGTCAGGTCTTGCTGTTCGACATCCGCTCGGACAAACCAGTCCTAGTCAAAGATCACTTCTACGGTCTGCCGGTGAAAAAGGTCGCGTTCCACGGTGGCGACGCGGACGTGGTCCTCAGCATGGACTCTAAGGTCGTCAAGATCTGGGAACGATTGTCCGGAAAGGCCTTCACTTCGGTCACACCCGCTGTGGACCTCAACGACCTGTGCGTCGTCGGCAATTCTGGCCTCTTCTTCGTGGCAAACGAGGACAAGAAGATTCTCGCGTACTATGTTCCGAGCCTCGGCCCGGCTCCCAAGTGGTGCTCGTTCCTGGACAACCTGACAGAAGAACTGGAGGAGACGCAGCAGGACGCAGTGTACGACGACTACAAGTTTGTCACGAGGCGCGAGCTGGAGGAACTTGGACTGGGACACCTGATCGGCACGAACCTGCTGCGCGCATACATGCACGGCTATTTCCTGGACATCCGGCTGTTCCATAAAGCGAAGTCGCTGGTTCAGCCATTTGCGTATGAGGACTACAGGCGCCGCAAGATCCGCGAGACTATCGATGCGACGAGGGTCAATCGTGTCACAAGCGGCGTCAAGCTACCCGCCGTCAACCGGGAGCTTGCTCGTAAGTTGCAGGAGGCGGCCGAAGACGGCGAGCCGGACGGCAAGCCGAAGTCGAAGCTGGCATCAGGGTCGGGTCTTCTTGAAGACACCCGGTTCAAGGCCATCTTCGAGAACCCCGACTTTGAAGTGGATCCGGCGAGTGATGAGTACCGTCTGCTCCAGCCGGTCGTGACAAGCCTGGAGAAGCGGACAAAGAAGAAGGCAGACAAGATGGCGGCCTCCGCGGCAGCCATTGACATGGACCTGTTTACGCCGGTGGACGACGGAGTGGCACGTGGTGCGTCCAGCGACGAGGACAGTTCGGATGATGACCGGACATGGACAAAGGAGGTTAAGAAGCAGCACAAGATGATCCGGCAGAAAGAGAGGACAGAAATTATGGCTCCCAGTGCTGGTCCGAAGATGTACGAGTTGAAGAGTGGCGTGGAGTTGACGGGTCCGCGGAGCGAGTCTATTAAGAGGGAGAAAATGTCGCGGAAGTTAACCTTGGGTCAAAGGCTCGAGAGGGAACGGACTGGGGTTGGGTCGGCAGGGGCAGGAGGCAACAGGTCGATGACGTTCGAGTTGAAGAAGACGCCAATAGAAAGGAAGCGTGAGGAGGCAGAGAAGAGGCACATGCAGGAGAGGAGGAAAGGTCGGAGGTCGGCCAAAGGGCTCAAAATGGCAGCCGTTGCGAAGCCGGCGCCATTCTGAGAGGTTGGTAGGCGAATCGGACCGAGCTGTAAATAAAATTTTATGGCTTTTTCTTTTGTCTCGCGGTTGCTTCAGGGTGCATCAGCTTTTCACGCGAGTGTCTGTAGACGGATCATGTGCTGTGCTACACATTTTGAAGTGGTCAAAGATGAATTTAACTGACTTTGTAGTTTGTTACATTTATTACAAAGCAGAAACGGCAAGTGGATGTGGCTCAAGATGGTGCAAAGAAAGGGAATTCATCACATGTCATAAATAATATTTAGATGAAAGTAGAATTGATCAGAGCACATGTTTAATCAGGCAAACATGTGCCTGCAATTAAAGCTGTATTTTGCCATCGAGAACATTTTGAACGAGAAAGAGCGATAAGTTCGGAGTTCAAACTCTGCATTACAGCTGCAAGCACTGCCAACTTGCCCATGGCCGCGACACTGCCGTTGCTGCCATTAAAGGAGCAAATATCTAGTATAGCCTGTTTATGCAAGGGAAGATGGTCATCCAAGAGAAACTGATCCTTTTAGTTTGAATGGAGCGTGAATGCTCCAGAGCCAAAGTGATCTCGACAGTTGATTATTACATTGTGTCTAATGAATATTGCAAAGACACTTGGTCTCTGTGGTAACCATTACACTGCAAATGCTGGGGAGTAATGCATTGAGTGGAACTAAAAAGCTTTAGGTTTTCGCATGCAGCCATGTTGAAGTAAGTTGTGTTAGCCATAGAGTTGCTCTACGCACAACTTTGCTGTCCACAAATTGTTTCAAAATGAACAATGAAAGCTGTTATGTTTTACACTGAAACATTGTCCTTTGCAGCATGAAACTTCTCTGCTTCGCTGCCATCTTTGCCGACTTCACCGATGGCGCTCTAGAACATGTAGACCATAGGGAGCTTGAGCAACGTGCGGGTGACCTCGTGCTAAGGATCCCCTACACCGAGTTTGTTTTGACAAATGTTCATTGTTTGGCATTGCCTAGCGCGTCTAGTCTTTTTCAATGTCCGAAGCCACTCGGCCAGATCGTTCAGACATTACCGCGCAAAAGTTGGGTGACGTAGCGTCATCCAGCTAGTTTGTACACGTTACCCTGTCACGATGACCTGCACACCAGTTCACCGACTTCGCCGAACGATGCAGGCAGTGGCAGTGATGCTGGGTCGCTGAGTACGACGGCCAAGCGGTATGGTGACGACTACACGCTGAATGGCACCAAGGCTTTCATCAGCGGATGGGGGAGCAGCGACCTCTACGTCACGATGGTCCGGACGGGCGGTCAGGGCCCCAAGGGAATCTCGACGGTGGTCGTGGAGAAAGGGACACCGGGACTCAGGTTCGGCAAGAAGGAGAAGAAGGTCTGTCATCAAAACTGCTATGGTGGTGGAAAGTGCTCAATTGGAGTATTAATTTAAGTTGTAAATTTGCCAGCACCTTTCCGAAGAAGTCCAGTTCGGCTCGATTACGAATGCTTGTATCGAAAAGAATCAATCTTTTTTTAAAGAGAAACTTGCCTTGTTTGGACTTTGAACCCTCAATCTACAGTAGACTCATCAATTCAAACTCCTGCAAGCCACGAATTTCGTTTGAATTATTAAAAAATCATCTAGATATATGATGCTAGGTAAAATTATGATTGCTATATGGATGGCTACACATACAAGGCAAATGTTTGATTTCCTCTACACAGGCCTACTAATCATAAGCAGGCATATGCCACACACGAAACATTGGTGATATGTACAAGTTCATCCCTCAAAAATGTTGTCTGTCGTGGACTGTTTACACACCACATGACACCTCAAAAACAAAATTAAGTTTGTTCTTCCCACAGAAAAGTTGTCTACTGCGGGCTATCAGCCTAGTTAAGCGTGCGTCTTACTGAGCACAGGTTCATTGCGAAGAAGCAACAACCGCGGAAGCGAGCTTCCGCGAGCTTCCGCGGGTGTTGTTTCTCCGCAGCGCACACATGCTCGGAAAGAAGTGCGCTCAACGGGGCCGTGACAGCAAAAAGTATAAATTGCACATAAACATTGTTTGAATTAATCGGGGGAGGAAGTGGCTGGAGTGGGCTAACGCGTGTCAGCTCGGAGCATGGAGCGAAAGCTTGCACCGAGAACCTCCCGAGTTCGATCCCCACCGCCCCGGCCCGTTTCGATCTGGATGAGTTTCGTACCGGCACGCGTTCGTGTAATCACTACTGCGAGATGCACGTTAAAAACCCCAGGTTAGCGGTTTACTACACTGGCTAAATTGCTCATCTACAGCTAAGAGACCGATTACCCATTGAGGCGTATCTTCATCAAGGCTGTATAAACATACAGAGCAAACCATTTTTTTTTTTTCGAATTATTTGGCTTATATTTATTTTATTTATTTATTTATTTATTTATTACTGCCAGCCATTGACTGGCCAGGGCAGGAGTGGGTACATTGTGGAAAAGAGCACACAATCAAAATATGCGGTACAACATTACATCAGAAAATACGAGGCAATGCTTCTTTCAAACACAGATGCACTTGGACTATTTACAATAGTTTCAAACAAACTATTCTAATCATCTATAGATCTCACAAAGAAAGAAAATTTTAATACATCAGAAAAGTACGGATAGGGATCAATATGCCTGCTATGCTTATGTCTAACAAATCTCGGAGTCGAAAACTGTATGTATTTTTTTGTCTAACTTCTAAGAATCGCTAATTATTGAGAAGAATGTTTTAAGGTGATTTATTTTCATATGCGCTTCAATCGTGTGAAATCCAGCTTTATTTCGCAATTCTGTAGCTGATGTGGTTGATCTGTAATCATTGAAAATAAAGCGAAGCGCCTTATTTTGTACTCTTTGCAGTTTTTCTATGTTTTGACGCGTGTAGGGTTCCCAAACCGGGCTGGCATAATCCAGGACTGGTAAGGCCAGGCTTTTGAAGGCAGTTATTTTAACTTGGGGACAAGCGTCTCGTAGAGTTCTGCGAAAGTCCAGAGCCGTTGCATGGTCTTTTTGAATATTTGATCAACATGAAGGTTCCATGAGAGATTCGGACGAAATAATGCGCCTAGATACTTATACTCTATCACTTTTGTGAGCGATTTCTCCCCAATACGGTAATCGAAAACTAGACGGGTTAGCTTCTTAGTCACTGTCATAAAAACGGTTTTATTTATGTTCAGTGACATCTCCCATTTGTCACACCATTTTTTAATTTTTTGCAGATGCAGATTTAATTTTAGCTGGTCGGATTTACTTGTAATTTTGGTAAATATTATCGTATCATCCGCGAAATGCTTAATACGTACAGTTTCTTCGAATTCCTTACCCATGTCGCTGATAAAAAGAATAAAAAGTACAGGCCCGAGCACAGATCCCTGTGGTACCCCAGATACAACCCTACAAGGACGCAATTGTTTATCCCTTATATGGACGCTATGTTCTCTCTCATGCAGGTATGCTTCCATCCATCTAATTATTGTTCTATTTTTCAGAATAGTGTTAAGTTTATAAAGCAGCTTTGGGTGCGACACTCTATCAAAGGCTTTAGCAAAATCTAAAAATATTACATCGGTCTGACCACCCCTACCTATGCAATAGCTAAGTTCATGAGTGACTTCAATAAGCTGCATAACTGTTGAGCGACCTCGACGAAAACCATGCTGGTTGTCACCTAGTATGCCGTTACTTTAAAAAAAAGTCATCAAATGATTAGCTATTATATGTTCGAGAAACTTATACGACATACTAATTGATGAGATGGGCCTATAATTGCCTACATGGGATTTGCTACCTTGCTTGTGAACAGGAATTATTTTGGCGCACTTCCAGTTCCCTGGGATCTGACTGCAGTGAAGTGATTTTTTATACAGAATTGTCAGATAGTGGGACATCCATTCAGCAATATATCTTTTTAGAAATTCATTCGGAATCTCGTCGGGGGCAGGTGACTTTTTTGTGTTTAAATTTAGTATCAAGTTGAAAACACTGGGCTGACTTATTTCAATGTCCGGAGCAGCAGGATAATCATATCCAAAGGATGGGAGCGCGGGAAGAACACCGTCACCGCATGTAAAAACGGACTGGAAATATTCTTTGAAGCTTTTTGCCATACCTAGCCTATTGGTAATCGGTACTGAATCAACAGTGATAGTAGTAATGCTATCTTTTGCCAGTGAAACATACCTCCAGAATTTTTGCGGTGCTGATGTCGTAAAATTCTGCAGTGTGATGTTCATAAAAGAAAATTTAGACTCGGTGATAGCATGACGAAGCCGACGAGATGCGTTCGCTATCTGGAAGCCTCTGAATGGTGAGCGGTTATCTCTTTTATATCCCTTTCGTAGCCTTTTCACCTTTTGCTTTATTTAATGATGTTCCTTGTGATCCACGGATTTTTCCTAGCAATCCTTTTAGTGCGAAATAGAACGAAGCGTAAACTAGCGTTGCTAATTATTCTTTTGAACTTTCCCCAGACCTCCTCGACAGTTGACGTAGGCAAAATAGAGTATTCCTTATATTCGTCAAAACTTTCATCTAGGTAATCTATAATCCCAGCATCATTCGCATTTCCAAAATTAAGGACCTTTTGAATGACACAAGAGGGAGGTTTATTCTTTAGCAAAGGGCATGTGAAAAGAGCTATGTCATGGTCGGATATTCCATCTATCACCTGACATGAGTATTCCGCGTCTGGAAGGGGTCTACTTAGAAAAATTAGGTCGAGTAACGATTCGCAATTTCCCCATGTTCTCGTGCTAGTTTTGACAACTTGGGTTAGGTCATGGGAAAACGCCATATTTAAAAGCGAGCGAGAGCACTCACCTTCGTTGCCACCTTCGTGTAAATTGTTCCAATCGATATCGGGCAAATTAAAGTCCCCAGCAAGAATTAGCTTACATTTATCTTTAGCGTGCATACAAAGGTAATCATTTAATACTGAAAAATATTTAGGGTTTGGCTCGAGGGGTCTGTACAGAGCAACCACATTAATAGGACATTCGCTTATAAAAAGCTTAGCAGCTACTCATTCTATGCCATGAACCACAGGCAATTGAACACAGGCGT